AATGTAATTGTAATTTAATTAATTACATTTGAATTTAAGGTGTAATTGTATTTGTAATTGTAATTGAGGAAAATCAAAGTAATTGTAATTTAATTAATTACATTTCAAAGTAATTGAACCCATGTCTGCAACATTGACACATTCCGCAGTAAAGAATGATGAACACATTATGTACACATGGGGGCAAATCTGTGTTTGTTCTAAAGGACGACTTGATAATCGTTTAGCAATTCTCCCTCTGCACACGATAATGTGATGTGTGTCGCGGATTATGAAGATTCCAGTACCGTTTCTGAGACAACCACATGCTTCTGGGCAATTTAAGCAAGCTCGATGCGGTTTTTCGTACGAAATACAACATGGGACAACTACCTTTGCATGTATATTCCTGTCATCTGCAACTTTAACCTCTTCATGTCACCGATATATATTGCATCAGTCTGGCAGAAGTGTGGGCGACACCTACAGTTCGGTTCATAATTATTGAGAATCCCACGAACGTTACTAAAAAGCATATAATGAGTGAAATCTGAAATTACTCAGTAGTCAATACGTGTACATACCCTGTGGATTTCTGCAGGTATCAAATTAATATTTTATCAGATCCCCGTTACTTTCCTTTCACAGTCTAATGCGGGTAGGCATACTCGCTATCAGAGAGGTTAGAGTTTCATGGGGGATACTGTCCCAATATCGCACTACCTCTCTCTTCATGTCTTCAAGTTTGCTGAGTCCCTTTTGGTTGACATTCTCTTTCATCATCCCCCAAATGTTCTCAATGGGATTCAGATCCTGGCTGTAGCTGGGAAATGGGAGCAATGTCACGTTTTTCTCTTGGGACCACTATTTAAAATGCTTTGCCGTGTGTTTTAGGTCATTGGCCTGTTGCAAAATCCAATCATTCCCACAAAAGACTCCTGCATTTGGAAGAAGAAAGTTCTCAAGAATGTCTGTGTACCGTTCACTAGTCACATTTCCCTCAAACACTTACAAAGGAGTTGTTCCCAGTAACGACACTCCACCCAACACATGAAACTTGGGACTGTATTTCGGCCTGTGGTACGCCGGTGCTGAATCAGATTTTGTCCACATCTTAACATTATTAGGATACACCCAGACTGAACTTTCATCAGTGAAAATCATGTTGCTCCAGTCAAAGTTTTCATGGTCCTGACACCACAAAACACGGTTTTCCTTATGTCTGTCTTTCATGTCTGGAGTCGGCGTTCCCCTCTTTTTCTCCCATCCAAGATCAATTAAACTTCGTCTGATAGTGGATTTAGAAACTAGGTGACCCTCTATTTAGCATCTCATACCTGATGTTGGATATACTTTACTTGGATATAGATAAAGCCAAAATAACAAGTCTGACCCGATCTCCAAATTCCACTTTTCTTGGCCTCCCTGCTCCTTTCTTGTGCTCAATTCCAGCTCCACTCTCAACATTCTTCTTAACCCTGTACACAGTTGATAGAGGAGTGTCTGCTCTTTCTGACAGTTTATGGACATCAGTGATACGTCCATTGTAATCTATCTAAAATCAACCTTCTTTTCTCTTCAGCAGCCATTTTGGACATTGTTTTGGAAAATGTCTTCTGCTTAAATTTCAGGGGAGGTAACTCTAATCTGACATGTCTAGAAAGACAGGAGTTTCCTCTCTTGAACTGATAGCAGAATTCCATCATCAGTGGAGCTCATGAATAAACCTAGGAGTTCAAACTGACATGAAAAATTCTCAATAATTATGAACCGAGTTTAGAGTTTGGGTATTCTTGATATTCACCGAAATCGTGTATAATGTGGTCAGAGTATATTTCTGCAACATCATGATGGAGGGATACATTTCTTCAGTAGACATCGTCAAAAATATTTTTACCTGAGACATAGAGCAATGACAACAATTGTCTTAAATCGTTTTTTTCTCAGTTGACAATAATATGATTAAAACAAGACATATTTACTTACATGTATGTCTTTTGTGCATGAATACGTGTCTGTCGTCCGACCTAATTAAGAGTGGATATTGTAACCATTATATATACACACATGTGTGAAAGTGTGTGAGTGTAAGTAGATCAAGCAGTGTAATGGACAAGAGGGATCGTGACGAGGCTAAATGATTTTTTCAACGATATTATATCTATTAGAAAAATAACAGAACGGTTTTAAATGAATTTTGCAGTTTCTGTAATTTAATGTGGTATACTACCGCTAAATTTGGACCAGTACATATTTCTCATAAATATGTCATTTTGTTTGAATTCATAACCCAACTTCCCTTGTGATGAAAAAGTCACAGTCAAGCATGTTTTGCTTTACTGTATTGAGTTTGCCATCACACTGGATAAATATTTTAATGTTAAAACAGTGACGGATCTTTTTAATGTTAATTATCATTTAATCATTGAATTTTTAAAAGAAATAGAATTGCCAGATAAATTTTGATGAATAGTTTGTTAATAGATATATATTTGATAATTGGTAGTTTAGATTAGATTGTTAGTGGCTGTGCCCTCAAAGGGGGTTAAAGTACTGTAAAATTATTGTCCTCTTGAGAGGGTACGTAAGTCCCAAAACTTTCAAAGTAAAATGTAAATTTGCCACATTTTAATCATAGTATTTTTGTTCTTTTAACTGACGGCTAAATATTCCTACAATCGCCAGCGGCTGAAGGGATGGTATATATCCAGCTAGGGTCCATGCAGGTAGCAAAAGTAATGTAAGTCCCCATGGTTCCTAGTATGGTGCAAATGTTCTCGTCACGATATGGCTGAAATATTGCCGATGTGACGTTAAATTTTAACTCACTCACTCACCTAGTATGGTGATCTACCTTCAGTTGTTGGCGATCTATAGCCCGTGTTTTATACTGTATTGTCTTCTTTAACTGGAATATTTCAGCTTTGCTCGCTAGTTTTATATTCATGTCTGTGATTCTCTAGTATTTTTACTGTCCATCGTCGACAGGTTTTAATGTTCAAAATGTTTTCACTTTGTATTGTATAAATTGTTTTCGTCACGATATGGATGAGATATTGCCGATGTGCCGTTAAATATTAACTCACTCATAACCCAATTTCCTGAGAGGGTACATATCCTTAAAACTTTCCAAGTTCAATTTAACCTTACCAGATTTTTAAACGTAGTATATTTGTTCTTTTAAAATTCGGCTTATCTTTTCCTACAATCGTCAGCGGCTGAAGGGGTGTGTAAATCCAACAAGGGTCCATGCAGGTAGCAAAGGCACTGTAAGTCCCCATGGACCCTAGTGTGGTGATCTACCTTCAGTTGTTGGCGATCTATAGCCTGTTTTTATATTGTATCGTCCTCAATAGTTAAAGTATTTTAGATTTAATTACTAGTTTTAAATATATATCTGGGATAGTCTAGTTGGTTTTACTCTCCTTTGTCGACAGATATTTTAAAATGATTACCTTGTTTTCATCGCTATATGGCTGTAATATTGCCGATGCGATGTAAAATTTTAACTCCCTCACTCGCGTTTCTTCGGTGTTCCATGTTAATGTATCCTCAGTTGCCGGATCAAAATTTGTGGCGATATCGTCAACGAAAGCTGATAATAAATTAAAAAATGCAATTATGTAACAGTCAGCTCCTTAATCTGTTTTGACATACCACTGAATCAACGTAAACAAATGTTTCTTGCTGCATTTTTATTCTGAAAGCAGACGATGTTTTGATCTTGTTCGACTGAATATTTGTTTCTCTGTTTCTATGCTGTTTGCATGTATTAACACCTATTTCAAGTAATGAGTCGATCCCATCATCGCCAAATCCATCTTTAAAGACATATGTGTAATCTCCGTCAATATAGTCTTCGTAATCTATCGGTGTACTTGTAGTTTGTTTGGTTAATAATAATAATAATAATAATAAATGGATATTTCTTATGCGCCATAGTCCATCCAGAGCATGCTCAAAGCGCTACATATAAAAAGAGTCACTAGAGTTCAAGAAGAAGATATGACAATTAGCCAAAAATAACCGTGAGAGTATTTTACAGTTATAGGTTGTAGACTTTTTTGAAGAGGAAGGTTTTGAGTCCCGATTTGAATGCTTCTAGGGATGAAGCATTTTTTATGGGAGTAGGAAGACTGTTCCATAGGGTTGGTGCTGCAAATTTGAATGACCTATGGCCAAAGTGTTTGAGACGAACTTGGGGAACTGAGAGAAGATGTTGATTCTGAGAGCGGAGAGAACGGGCAGGCATATATGTTGACAACATCTCAGAGAGGTATGGAGGAGCTAGGCCGTGTTTGCAGCGGAAAACAAGAGTGCAGATCTTGAAATGAATTCTTGCTTCAACCGGCAGCCAATGCAGACTCTGGAGGATTGGGGTTATGTGAGTCCATTTGGATGTTTTAGTGACAACTCTGGCGGCAGCATTCTGAAGTTTTTGAAGTCTGAAGAGAAGATCATTGGAGATTCCAAACAGTAGGCTATTGCAATAGTCAATCCTGGAGAGAACAAGTGACTGAGTGAGAACTTTAGCAGCATCTGTGGTTACAAGATGGCGGATGTTTCCAATAGAGTGGAGATGGAAGTAGCCTACTCTACAGAGATGGTTCACATGTTGCTCCATGGTGAGACAAGGATCAAGATGAACACCTAGGTTTTTTACACTGGATGAAAGTGGGATATCTGAGTTGGCTACTGTGATGTCCGTAGAGTTTATCCTTTTCAGACATTGCGATGTGCCAATCAACATAGCCTCAGTCTTATCATCATTGAGCTTCAGCTCATTTGTTAGGGCCATGTTGGTGGGTGGGCGAAAATAGTGCATTACCGTAAACCATGTATATGTATAATCAGATATAGAATAGTCAGCCCTACTGACAAACCTGAATAACAGTTGACCCTGTGCAACTGAACACGCTCCAATAGTGTGGTGTAGCAAGGTCAGCGATATCTTATCAGCGGCAAACGTCTGATCTATAAGACACTGTCTCTTCCAACTGAACGAGTTTTGACCTGTGTTGGGAAATACTACATATCAGGGAAAATGGGATGGACGCCAGTTGTTTTCATTTTGAGTCTATCGATAACCAATGTATACAGTAACACGACTGTGACAATCTATCCTCAGTGGCTGGCAAAGGGAGGTAATGTTCGCTATGAACCTGACAGATGGAGCAAGCACAATGGTCTGGAACATGAATACCTGATACCATGTTGTCGCAGTATTCGGACTGACAGCGGACGCTGGATGAATAGAGATATACATGATAATCTCTTTCTAGATGTGAGACTTTTGTTCCTATGTATGCCTGTATGCAACATTTGCAGAACGAGATGTTGAATCAGATTTGCTGTATTATAACAATATAACCATTACATATTGTTTTGACTTTACATGCATAACATTATGTTCTTTTCATTGAATTTCCATTTATCCCTGTAAAACCATATCGCATTGATATATTGTTTCGATCTATATATTATTAATTGGAGTCATTGATCCATTGTTACTTGGATAGACATTTAACTGAAGGATGGATGTTGGTCATGTTTGGGTTGGTTATTTGGCAGGAATATTCAGTGGTGTTTGAAATACATTGCTCAGATTTATTAGAATCTGTACGTGTATGTTGTTTGTGAATAAGTATCTATGGTATAATCATTCTTTTCGTATAAACACGATTAGAAATATCTACATTAGTATTTCCACACATGTAATTTTAGCAAATCGACAGTGACAATCATCCATGGAAATCGTTTATTTTGTAGTGGCCACAGGACCCTAACCGTAGTGGCTACCCAGACCCGAACTACCTGAAGAACGTCACCAAGCAACAGGAACTGTTCTCCACGTATCTTGCCAACATTAACAGTGGGTACAAGAACGAAATGATCATGGTGTCCACATGTAAGTGCATCCTGAAAAAAAGAAATGTACTATATAGAACAAACTTTATGGAAAGTACTTCCCAACTTCTAAAATGCCACTCAAAGATAAGAAATGTACTGGTGGTACATACAGTCCGTTTGAGTCAGAAACGGACCGATGAATTGCAAATTTGATCATTGTACAAAACTGCCACAGAAATATAAATAGTACACATGTTTATCATTTACTAATACCCAACAGCTTTCTTATATTTGAAAATTTTCCGGACTCCACCAAAAACTCCTGCACATGTGATATAAATATAAGTGTCCGGGAGGCATCCATATCCGTTATTATAATTCGAGTACATTTCGATGAAAAGAAGAACGTCACTGCAACAGTATGTATCCATGTGTTGTTCATTCATATTTTTCAGCTCTTAATTGGCCCAACTGGATGAACCAGCCAGAACATCAAGGTCATTTCCCAAACAACGTCGATGCTGCTGCAGAGTTCATAATGTTAATGGTGCAAGGAGTTTATGACTACACACAAGGTCAGATACCGCCCTACTTTGAAGTCGTCAATGAACCAGATGTTAAAGGGGACATCATGAATTTCAGCACCACTGTTAGCGTCTATCATAAAGCAGTTGCTGAGAAACTCCATTCCAGATTTAACATCAAAGTGGCGGGTCCAACAATGACAGGGTATAATACAGACGTAGACAGAAATAACTTCTCCTTCTGGCCAAAACTGGTACAGTTTCTAGACATCGCATTAGATGAGTTAGATGTATTTTCCTTTCATTCATACAACTCACTAGTTGTTTCGGGGAAAACTCACAAATTCACTGGAAATAATGAAGCCCGTTTGGTAGCATTTGTCGACCTCCTTGAAAGCTATGTCCATCGAAAGAAAGGAAAATCTATTCCCATCATTATCAGTGAATATGGTCGCGGGAAAGTAGAAGGTATTAGCAAAGATGCTCCATCGGGTATAGTCGATTTTTCAACAATATATTGCATCAATGGCCACCGATTCACCCAACTTGGTCTCAGAGAATACATTGATAGAACAGTGGTGTTTTGTTTATCTAACGAGCAACGTCAGGACATGACAGTCTCAACTTTTCACTTTTCACCCAGCAAGGGAATGCCACACGTTTGGTCGACGTTTTCAAGTTTTGGTACAATTTTACGTCAGAGTACTCCTTCATCAGAACCTCCAGCCAATCGGACGGACAAGAACGAACTGTGTCACCGCTAGCAATGGCCAGTCCTTTGAAGAATGAAACCGTCATTCTCCTTCACAGCTATTCACAAGAGTCACAAACCGTTAAGCTAATTTTCCAAGACGACTGGATCACACCGACCACGGGCGAAGCTACTTGTATCACCATCAAGGACAACTGGTACCCGGTCATGACCTTCAACGAACCCATTGACATCGGGAAAACTCAAGGAATGGTTGAACTTCCTCCTGAAGCAACATGTCGCTTTACATTCAAGATCCCGTCAGACCAACAACCTAAAGTCACTCTCAATGAAACGACATATTACGGAACAGATGTTATTATACCTATCAAGGACAACATCGCTGTTACAACCATATCACTTCCGGTTGGCGAAATCCAAAGCGCGAATCTGCGAGTTTCAACCAGTTGGCTCACTACTGAAACCAACGATGTGAAATCTGTCACCCTCAACAACCAAACTCTTGACTCCTTCTTCAAGCTGTATGACTCAGATAGACACAACAGTGACATGTATACAAACATGGACGTTTGGGAGTTTGAGAATCCTCCTAACTTGTTGAACTCTACTTCTATCCAGGTCCAGGTTAACTTCTCCAACCAGGAGAACGGTTATGTGACTTCGGTAGCTCTTGTCGCTGCCAGACTTGTCCCATCCGACATAAAATGATAAGATACTGAAATAACATTGCATTGATTTGATTAAAGAGAACATGACTGTGATAAAGTATCATGCATATTAGTTGTTCATGTAAATATGTTAATAGTAATGTATTGGGTGGCAGGTGCTTGCCAGCTATAGACCAATGTTTATGCCAGTTAACTGTTAAACTCCTACAGCGTTTGAGTACAAATTGGATAATGTTTTGGGGGAATGGTGTTTCCTTATGACCTGAAGATGCTTTTGGACACTTATTTACAACACTGACACGTGCCACAGGACAGATAATGAACACATTATGTATTCTTAAGGACGACTTGATAATCTTCCATCAGTTCTCTCCCAGCACATTATAAAGTGATGATTCTTGCATGTTGTCACAACTAGATGAAATATCCGAGCATAACGAAGTGGTAAATGAGATGAGATTAAAATATACAGCTAACTCACTGATTTCCCCACGGTTAACGTTGAACCACATTTCACCTCGCCATTCCGCACTGCTAGCCATTTTCTTTATATTTTGATCCGTTATGTGAAAGTTACAGCTTGTCACTTTATGTTGAAGCACATTGTGGATACAGGCATTTAAACATTTATATTTCACATGTTGAAAATGACAAAGCTTTGTTAGTCTAAAATTAACACTCTACAGTCACAATACTGTGAGAAAAACATGTCGTACGATATCGTAAAGGGTCAAGGGTGTGTAGTTCACGTAGGTATATTGTCAGTTGTACACAATGGCAGTTACTTACGTAAATAGTGTCAAATTTGATATTCAAACATTTTCTGCATAAATACTGATGACCTAGAATTTCGAACGGTCAGTCCAAGAATCTGACAAATTACTCTCTCTCACATCTTCCAATCTCATGATGCAATCTATAAGTCGTATTTCTCCTGGTTTTGTGACGGTACATATTGAAAGGTTGGAATTTTGTTGTTAGAAACTATTCGTTATTCCCCATATATAACCGGGATATATTCCCTGCACCAATATCGGAACGTTATGTCAGCAGCCTTTTCAACATCCAAGCTATTGTCCTAGTTATGAAACATTATATCCCTAATAAATACCGTCTCATAGATACCGTATGGATGTGGCATCCCTATATAGTGGAATAGCATCGCAAGTCTAGCACTTGAGATTGCTGCCTTGAAGTGCCAGAAAGAATGGATCAAGACTGCAGTTCTGCAACAAGGATGGTTTGATGTAACATGCCATTGTAGAATGAAGGTATACTCATACCTAAGGTACTTTATTTGGACCTTTAAAAATGTTAACTTTTTTAAAAATATGTCGAAAGTTACGATTTGAACCTGAGATGATCTCCAAGCAAGCGTGTGTGTCAAGTGACAACGTCCCACTTGATCTGTTTCTTAATGCATATTATTAATAGGTACTAACGTTTATTCATTTAATAAAGAATAACAATAGGTTGAGAGATAGCTGACCTAGAATACAGACCGGTTCCGAGCCATGTGATCATGACTTTAGTTGGAATCTTCTGATGTCACCATAACGATAGGTAATGATTGTGGAAACACGCATATTAACGATACACATATACTGAGGTGTTGATTCAGCCATGGGCAACGAAAGAGCATTGATTCAAAGGTACTTTTGGGAAATCGTTTTCGTGAGTATATACACACATTTTCCTTCCTTCTGTGTATATATGTCATGACGTACAAGGGTTTCCATGATTAATCAATCTGTTGGCAAAGTGAGCGAAAGAACCTCGTCTAGCAGTACTAGAGGCTCTTATGTCTACTAGAACTCTGAATCACAGCTATTTTCTATGCAAGTGGATTTCTATTATCATGATTGGAGTTTTTGAAACTGGTAATTAAAGTTGTGGGGATGTATTGAAAAGTGTAATAATCTTTCATCTAAGAGTGTTCAGAAATTATCGAGGTCACGATTATTTAGCATTTGAAAATCAATGTACTCAATTAATTAATTACGTAGCTGCACTTGTACTTAGACGTAGACGATATTCTTTTTGGGTAGCGGCCTAGTAAAAATGAATGACGAAATGGGATTACCCATTCTAATGGATAGCCCAGTTACTGTAATCTCCAAAATCAAATCATTAAATTGTTAATTTTACATATCACAGAAGATGAAGTGGACACTGTTTCTTTTCACACTGAGTCTACCAACTGGCAGTGTTTCGAGCAACACAACTGTGACGATCTACCCCGAGTGGCTGGCGCAGGGACGTAGTGCTCGCTACGACAGTAACAGATGGAACAAGCATAATGGTCTGGATGAAGAGCCCCTTATCCCAAGATGTCGAAGCATTCGGACTGACAGTGGGCGCTGGATTAATGGAGATCTTAACGACCGTCTCTTCCAAGATGTGAGAGCAGGTTACGATTATAAATATCTGAAAGAACTAACGCATTCGCTACGACAGCAATGGGTGGAACAAGAACAATTCTCTTGATAAAAAGCCCTCATTCCCAGCTGTCGGAGCATTCGAACTGACAGCGAGCGTTGCATAAACATAGATCTTAACGATCGTCTCATTGAAAATGTGTGATCAGCGAATGACTAATATCAAACATTCCAAATGGAAACTGACACTGTCTTTGTTGCCCTCAAAATTTATTGATGACTTCACATTGTTATTCTATACGTTTTGTTGCTGCCAGTCACATTACCCGTTATTTAAATCGACAAAATTACATATCATCACATTTGGCAAATATTTTTAAGAATGAACGATTGCTTTGAATTTACTATAACCCTTGAATTATCTTGACATACTTTACTGTGACGAAAGTTAACAGAACTCTATAGTAAAACAGTCTTACCAACCGCTATTGTTCGCAGTGGCCAGAGGACCCAAACCGTATTGGCTACCCTGACCCTAACTACCTGAAGAACGTCACCAAGCAACAGGAACTGTTCTCACAGTACCTTGCTAACATTAACAGCGGTTACCAGAACGACATGATCATGATGTCGAAAGGTAAGATTGGCCTGTGACCTCTAACTCACTGATGCAATGTGAGATGGACATAAGTGGCCCATTTGTCTGACTGCAGATAACTAAATGGACAGGGTTGCTTCCCATGGGGACTCCAGAAACCGATTGTGATTCTAGGTTTCCCAGCACCATACTTCTGTCACTTCTATCTTTCCTTCCCTATACTGACACCCGTGATTTAATTGGAATACGGTTAAAAGCGGCTGTATTGTCAATTCCCTCACTCAAACATTAGAGCATGTTGAAGATGAATTGACACTATAATTACAGTCGTTGTGAGGAAGAATTGCTGCAAGGATCTTGAGTGTCGTTTCTGGAATAAAGACACATTAACAACAATATTGTAGGTCATTATTCGTAATGTATGATTCAATAGTTTATGTAAGACTGTCAGAGAAATGGTCTTTCTGACGCAAGTTATATTTAACTCTGATGTAATCTACCGACCATATGACTACATAGAGGATGAAAACGTACACAAAACAAATGTGAAATATGTGAAAATGAAATGGAAAATATTTAAACAGCCAAAGTGATGCAACCATGTACTCATAAATATACCAAACAGATGGAATGAGTGAGTGAGTATAGTTTGACGCTGCTTTTAGCAACACTCCAGCAATATCACGGCAGGGGAATGGACTTCACCAAACAGATGGAAAATAAGAAGGATATTTTGATGATTTTGTTCCACGGCGTTATTATAGACGACAAATATTAAGGGCTAAGGGGTGTTTGTGATCTAGACGATTGTATTTCATTCCTTGCATATGTTTTCGTCCATGCAGGTAGCGAAGGCACTGTAAGTCCCCATGGCCCCTAGTAAGGTGACCTTCAGTTGCTGGTGACCTATAGCCTGGTTTTATATTGTGTTGTCTTCCTAAATACAATAGTTTTAGATTTACATGCTAGTTTTAGACACCATCTGGGATATTTTACAGTCCGTCGATGACTAAACATTTAACAACTTGTGTTTATTGTGTCTGCAAAACACTATATGGCTGAAATATTGCCTTGGTGACGTTAAATTTTAACTCACTCACTCACTTGAATATGTTTTGAATATTTTACCAACAAATTGGTTATTGTAACCTTTGTTATTGTTTTCCTTTCATGTCATCCACAGGTGTTTCTTATCCAAGTTGGATAAACAAGTCCGAACATAAGGGTCAGTTCCCCAACAACATCTACGCTGCTGCAGACTTCATGATGTTGATGATGCAGGGAATTTATGATTACACCAAAGGAGAGATCCCACCATACTTCGAGCCCATAAATGAACCGGACTCTCAAGGTGACATCTTGAATTTCACAGCTGTTGCCCTATTCCACAAAGCAGTAGCGGAGAAGC